GCGCGGGGGGAGGCGGGAACCGAAAGTGAAGCGCTGGCGCTGGGCCGCGCGCGCCCGCCCGCCGCCCGCCACGGCGAGAGCCGCGCCGGCCCCAGCATGTCGGAGAGCTTCGACCGGGCCCCGGGCGCCGGGCGCGGCCAGGGACAGGGACAGAGCCAGGGACAGGGTCGGGGCCGCGGCAGAGGAGGCGGTGCCGCCCTCCYGAGCGCGTCGGAGAGTGGCGGCGGGGCCCGCCTCGAGGGCAGCGCTTCCCACGGCCCCGGCTCGGCTGAGCCGCCGCCGCAGCACAAGCCGGGCGGCTTCCTCCAGCAGCAGGAGCCGCTGCGGCCGCCCAGGACGGCGCCGCCGGGCGCCGGAAACGCAGGTATCGGCTGCACCGCTCGGGAACAGGGAGGCGGGGGCCCCTCCGCCGCGCCGCCACGGTCGGCTCCCCCCGTTCTCCCCCCCAAACACTGCGGCCCTGGGGAACCCCTTCGCTCTCCTTCCCCCGCGACCTGAGGCTGGGCGTCTTTCCAGGGGGCCGTGTCGTCACTTTGGCCTGCCCTGCTCTGGATGGGCACCCTGGCCCAAGAAGCTGCTTTGGGGTCCCGGCCTACAGGTTTGCCGCAAGGAAACCCGGCCCTTGTCATGTCCTGTTTTGCCCTACCGTGCCCTCCCAGCAGCCGCTCCACCAAGAAAATGTGGAAAACACCCTCTGAAACATGTTTGGGGGCTAGCGATTTGTGCCAAAGCCACGAACATCTCTGAGGAGTGTGTGGAGGTTCAGCAAGGCCTGCCTCTGCCCATGTAGCCTGTGGAAAAACCCACAAGACGAGCAAGCTGGCATGGGCGGATTTACTAGTTTCTCTAGACAGCTATGTTAGAAAAGTGGGCTGGGGGAGGATCACTTATCATTTTTTGGTCACCTTTGCTTGAATGTTGTCTTCATTGGCAGCCACCAGAGGCTTTTCCACAGTGTAAACTTTTTGCATCATAAGAAAAGCAAGAAAAACTGAGCATTTGCAGTTGTAAAGTAAAATTGAACTTCAGGGATTTAATTTCTAAAGAATATCAGACCTAAGGTATTTTAAACTTTTTTTTTTTTTTGTATTCTAAAAGGGAGCACAGCATCACTTCTCAGGGAAAAATAATTTGGTAACATTTTTCTTATAAGAGCAAGTCATTTCTATTCTTTTCTTCCCACTCCATCTCCCAAAAGCTATGCACTAGGTTGTATGAATACATAGAAATTTAATGATGTCTAAGAAAAGGTGTTAACATAATAAAATCTTTCCAGAGCACCTGCGACAGACAAGAATTTCAACCAGCTCACAAGATAAAATTTCAGTTCCTGACTCTGGACCAGCAATGGCGAAGCCTCAGGTGGCTGTGGCTCCTGTAGTAATCTCAAAATTGTCTGCAAACGCACCTGAGTTTTATCCCTCAGGATACAACCCAAACTTTGCAGTGAGTATTTGTCTTAGTATATGCCAGTTTGCTTATATTCAAATTAACAATGTTTTCCTGACGTCGTATGTAGTAGACAGCTTGAATGCTGCACTGGCCAAAGAGAATCCAAAATTTGAGACTCAGAATGTTAAGTGATAATGAGTGAATAACAGGGAGTGCTTGAGAGTCTGCAGTGTGGGATGATTTGCTAAAGTTAACTGCAGATAACTGCATTCCTTCTTGATTGTACCATGCATCAACTTCGCCAACATGAGATCAAGCTGTCTCTTCTGAGACTGCATCTGTTGTAGCTGCATTTGCACCACGTTTTAAGTAGAGGCTTAGCTTCACTTTCAGTAAAATTTCTCTTTTTTTTTTTTTTTTTCCTCAAGGCAAGTGTGGGAGAAAGACTGAGCTTTGCTTAGAAAAGCGCTAGGCATCCCTTTTCTAAATGTCCTGAGCCTGGCAGTGGTTGACTATCACTGCCCAAATGTATTTATCATCGTGGTTTTACAATTTTGCCCTTTGGTGATACAGTATCACTGAAAGGAAAAGTATGGTTGGACTGTTTCCTAGCAGCCATATACCTACAATGGGATATTTGGCTGCCAGACTGAAGAAGAATCTTAGATCTGTTGTAGATGTCTCATATAAGTACAGGCCAGATGCTTCTAATTTTCATCTGTGTTACTGGTACAGGAGTTTTAGTTCAGGGTAGACCTGTGTTAATCCTTGTAATAATATTTTGTTATGTGAGCAGYCAGACTCTTGTGGGTGGATGTGTGGGAACTACTATTTTTAAAAATATATAYAATATGCAATTAAGTTGGAGCAAATAGATTTTGAATAACTAATAGAAAAATACTTAGGTGAATACTTGATCAGGTGTTTTGGTGGTTTTTCTTTTCCTCCACTGAAAAAAACTAATGTTATCAGGATGTTACAAGTTATGCCAGTTTACTGAATAAAATCACTGTTCTGAATAATGCAATCTCRTAGCTGGTAGACAACTGTTGACAAAATGCCAACGTGAACCTGCTTCGGTAAATGGATAACCTACAGGGGGAAAAAGAATCTTGCCCCCGTACATGTTATATATTTTCTCTAAATGAAGGATTTTAGTTCCACGGTCAAAAAATACCTTTTGGAATGACAAATTTGCATACATACAAACTCTTAAGGCCAGTGATGTTGCTTTTCAGCTATTTTATAAAAACACACGAGCATGTGGGAGTTTTTAGATGCCGTGTTGTAAGAATATGTTATGAATATAAATGAGTGATCTTATGAAGAGCTTTA